AAGGAAGAATCTCTCTTCCCCTCACTTATGCGATCACTCATCGCTTGACAGAGAGACGGTTGATGAGGGACGGTTGATGGTATTGCAGAGAGACGTGAGAGGGACAGATAAATGCTCCACCACCCACCTGACCCACCTGACCTTTCTGGTCGGGTAGGTTTCTTATATATGACTGCTGACTGTATCACTCGTTTTCCCCTTGAAGTGTATGCCGGGCTCCTCTTTTTACGGATCGTTTGCATGGAGTGTGCATTCGGAGAGAACTTGTTCGCCTTGCGTCTGAAACTCAGACTGATATGACAGTGGTCTGACCGATCGCTGTTGGTGATGTGCTTCGTCGTTGGGTGACGAAGGCTATTGGCATAAGCAACAAGCTTGCTTTTGAGCACGACTTTGCGCCCCTGCAGTTTGCGGCTGGTACCTCTGCGGGCGGCGAAAGTTGTTTTTATCGCTGCTCAAACCTTCATCGAGACACAAGGCGATGCTTCGGATCGGCGTTTCATCATGACTCTTGGCTGCAAGAATGCATTTGGCACCGTCGATCGCCAGGCGATCCTTGAGGAGCTTGGCACGAAGTGGCCCTTCTTGGTAGACTTCTTTTGGCAGTACTATGGAGACCCGGCCGAGCTTTGGTATCGCATGGAGGATGGCCGCATTGAAACCATTCTCAGCAAGAAGGACACTCAACAGGGAGACGCAGGAGGCCCCCTTCTTTTCTGCTTGGGCCTTCATCTCGCCCTCGTCAAGCTGCAATAGAAATTCCTTGATGATTTTGCCGGCGCTTTCGTGAACGACGTTGAAGGGGGGCTCAACAAGGATCGAGTGACGAACTATGTCGATAGGGCCGAGTATCACCTGGCCGCGAAGAAGCTGAAGCTGAGACGGCACAAGAGCACCGCATGGAGCCCTCACTGTCAGCAGCCTTCGGACATCCCCCGCGAAATCGCTGCATTGAACATTAAGTGCTCGTATGAAGGCATCACGATCTTCGGCGGCCTATCGGCACCACACCCTCATCCAACGCTCCTCGGACAAGGTCAACAACCAACACCAGTCACTCCTAGACGCTCTTGTTCCCTTCTCTGAGATCAATCTGCAGGGAGCCTTTCTGCTCCCCCGGTACTGTGCATCTCCCCGATTTACCTATTGGTTGCGTCTCCTCCCCCACACTCAGACTTTACCCTGCTTGCGGCTGAGCAGCATGACGCCGCCATTCTCACGACTCTCAGACGCATGTTTCGCTTCGGCGAACGGCCAGACACGGTGTCGACTCAGATTCAGCTTCCTATCCGGCTGGGTGGCTTCGGGCTCATCTCTGCAACCACGGCTGCCCCCGGCTTTCCTGAGCTCGGTCGCCGTGACAGCAGAGGATGTCTTGCATCGCTTTCGAGGAGCGCCACGGACGCCTCCATGTGGCCGGCCCTTCGGCCCTTCTCCTTTTGCCCTGGCTGCAGGCGACGGCGCCCGCGCTCGTGGCCGTCTCTGACGTGGTTGGCTCCTCCTTCCCCTCCCGTCTCTCGAGGATTTGATCACAAGACCGAAGTGAGGCTTCAGCACTGGCCCACCGACAAGCTGCACAAGACCCGTCTTGACGACCTCTTTAACTCTCTCCCATCTGATAGCCGAGCATGGGCACGCCTTTTGAGCTGCCAGGGTCCTCTCTCCTCTAGTTGGCTGTCAGCTATCTGATGCGCGCAAGACGCTGGACTGCTTCCAGTACCGCCTTGCGGCCGTCGAATGCCTTGGTGTCGCTCACCTGCACGGAACTATCACGCAGCAATGCATCTGCGGCGGGGAGTTCGACCAGTTCGGCGACCACTACTTCCTCTGCAGCACCGGCCGCCAGCGAATCCTGAGACACAACAATATGCGCAACCTTTTCTGTCGAATCCTGGCTGAGGCGGATGTCGCTGCACACATGGAGGTCCCCATGCACAGCATCGGCGTCATCTCGCCAGACAACGACCCCAACAGCCAGCGAATGGACATCTACTGTGTGATCGACGGTCAAAACTACCTCCTGTACGTCATCATCACCCACCCCTGCCGACCTGACGTCTCCCTTATTCGCTCTCACCGAGACGTGGGCCGGCACAATGCTCAGCTTTCGGGTGAAAAGGCAGCCGCCCTTGCTGAGAAAGCCAAGACCGCCAAGTACGGCCTCACTGTCCAAGCCAGAGGCTTCCGTTCTGTCCCCCTTGCCGCAGATACATTCAGCCGCTGGGCGCTTGCGATGATTGCCTTCCTCAAGACGCTCGCCAAGAGGAGACCACGCACTTCGGCCATCCCAGCATCCGACGATGCATCTTTCCAAGAGAGCGTCATTAATCATTGGAGCCGGCTCTTGTCCATGGAGCTGATGAAGTACAATACATTCCAGGTCGCCAACCGCTTTCAGAGAGCCGTAGCCGCGAGAGGACCTGCTCGACCAGTGCTTTTGCGGAGAAGTTCATCAGCCGAGGCCCTTATAGGCCTCACACAAGGCCCCTCTTCCGTGCGTGAATCTGTCTGGCACTGCATGCCGTTGTGCATGCAGTTGCATGGACCGTGACTTTTGTGTGTGTCTGCTTTGCATGGTTGCTTCCCTGTTATGCACTGCCTGTGATTATGCATCTGCTGCTGCATGCCCTTGTATGAAACTTAAGGCGGTCACTCGTCGACTCTCGTTTACTTGACGGCTCATCAGTTCTATGCTTTAGGCAAAAAGGATCGTTGAGCAAACGAGGGGCGATGAATGGTTGTCTTGAGTCTTGAACGATAGTACGAAAGATCAGATGCATTAGCACATACGTTCCAACGCAGGTACGCGTGGAACATATATTCAAGCGAGGGGCTTCCTCTCGGCGAGCATCTTGAGAAAGTCCACCGTCTTCTCTCTCCATCTGCCGAATGTCTCCGCAGCGAGAGGGACAAAGCGGAAGCCAGCTGCTTGGGCGGTTGGGCCATACTTGTCGATCTTGTCTTTCTCCGCAAGCTCCGCCGTCTTGCCACCTGGAACTTGTGCGCTACGCCGGTTGACTGTCCGGTGGAAGGGGATGGGGGAGTCGTCAGGCCGGCAGGGGTGGGCGATGGTGACATCGAGCAGGTAGTCATGGCCGTCGATCACGCAGTAGACGTCCATGCGCTGGCTTTTGGGTAAAACGGGGGCAGCGGTTTCAGGGAATACCCTAGGCGGCCTGACGGCCTGATCCCATGTCTGTCCATCCCAACATGCAACATGCAACACGCACCCCAACATGTTGAGTAAAAGATATGTTGTGCGCTTAGGGTTTAGGGATTTGGGTTACTTTGCTCTACAGTGAGTGAGCCCTTCTCTCTCGAGTCCTTCGCTCTGAGAGGACAATGCCAGCAAGAGCTCGTCCATTCAGCTCAGCTCATCCCCTTTCCTTCCATCCTCGCGAGCCCTTTTCCCTCGAGTCCTTTCTGTCTCACTCCCTCAGCTCACCTCCCTGTCTGCGAGTCCTTTCCTTCCAGTAGCACAGTCGGCCGTTACTTGTTCACCCTCCCTGTCACCTGGGAGCTATGGCTGATGAAATAGCGGCAGCGGTCCAACTTTGCCAACAGCTGGCACCCTCGGCAGTGGGGCCGGCTGTCGACTTTGCCAAGCGGGGTCGCAAGCTCCAGGTTGTGTTCAACAATGAAACCGGCCAAGCGCTGACCGACATGGAGGTTCTTTTCCGAAATGGAGAGATGTTTAGACAACTACAGGTATATAGGAGAGCCCCACCTTCATTCATCGTTCACCTTCATATGCTGGTTTTGCTTTTTCAGAATGGAGAAACGCTCGTAGTAGACGCACGGAGCCAGCTATACGCACCGAAGATCAACGGCGTGATCCGCATCCGGTTTGCAGAGGAGCCGAGGAGGGCCGTGGTGATTGCCGTCAACGTGATGGACACTGGCCGGACACTGGCGGGCGCAGTAGGTGCAGTACCGCCGTTCCACAACTTCGACGTGAAGATGTATGAGGCCGCTCAACATCCTCCCCTGACGACCATCATGACCCAGCCGTACACCATCAGAGACACTCTGACGCTGTGGCGGCGGCCTGGTGGTGATGGCAACATGTCTCGGCGAGTTGGACCACTGCTGAACCGCGCCACCTGGAAAGCCGCCCTGAAGAAACACCGTCTCCTTCCGCTGAGGACGCCCTTCGACATGAGTGGCCACTCTGAGCTGGGACTAGTAGGCTACAAAGCAACATGCTGCATGATACCGCAAGACGTACAGTGCTTGCTGGAGGTCACACTGTATCGGGAGGGATAAAGCGGTGTATCGGTGCATGGATGCATCCTCTCTCTTTGCTTGTGTGCTTTTTTGTTTCTACCTGCCTTGCTCTGTATGCCCCTCATTTGCTGGCGACAAGGGAGTAAAACATACATACCTACTTCGTTGCCTGTCTTTTTGCTTGCTGATCGACTGCTGAGGCCTAGGTACAATCGACCGGCCTCTTGTACCTAGGTGTGATTGGTCAAATCGATCGGTCTCTTGTACCTAGGTGTGATTGACTTGATATTAGGTGCTAGTTTGTGTTGCTTCATTGTACTTGTGTGTTGGTCCTATGTCTTGTGCCTTCAATTGTGTCTGCATGTAGTTCCATGCATTCTCTCTGCATGAGTCGCGTGTTCTCACGCAAACAAGATCAATAACTGGTGAGAATATGCATTTTCGCTGAGCGCGTTGAAGTTCGTATGGGTGCGCATCAGACATTGTGAGCTTGAGTGCTTGGAAGCAAACGGGCGACGTCACGCAGATCGTCCTGAGTCTCAAACAAGGGCATGATCAATCAGACATTGCACGACAGTCTGAGCAGCCAAACGTCAAACACACGCAAACAGAGCGATCACTGCCAAACATCACGCACACACAATCGTGCACAGCAAACACGAAGCACCATGTGCACGGCAGGCAAGCAACATGCCAGCTCATAGCCCAGAGGCAGGGCTAGAGCACAAGTGAAGGTGCCGGTCCGAAAAGAACAAACGACCTGCGCTTCGGGAAGGGGAGAGAGAAGTAGAAGGGGAAAGTGGGAAGAGGTTGGATGAGACGATGCAGCCAGTCCTGGCCTGTCTGAACGATGAGCCCACGCACATGCACAGGTACGTGGGGTGGGAAAGAGAGGAGGGAGCGCCCATCGAGCATGCAGCGTTGTGCTCTTGGGGCAACAGTACGCCGCAGGGCTACCACAGCAAACCGATGCGGGAAGTGATCCTTAAAAAACGGTGAGGCAGTGAAGAGACGGTCGCGCGCTTGAAGCAAAGCACGGCCACTAACGCTAGCCTGACCTGGAGTGTATCCCCGTCATGGCAAGATGCAGAGAGGGAGAGGGGCGAGAGAGATGGGCGGGGATGGGGCTGCTGGCAGCAAAAAAAGCAGGTTGGAACGGACAGTGGTGTCCCAGCGTGCCTTCAGTCTAGCAACGAGCTCTGCCTTGGTAAAGTCAACATGGAGGTCATGCAGCGGTCATGCAGCATGGAATCAGTGATGGGGCCGACATTTGAGATGAGGGTCCGGTGACCAGCAAATCGAAGAGAGAAGCAAAGCGAGAAAACACATTGTGCTGCTGTCTGTACACGTAAGAAGGGTCTGTCTGCATCTGCCTGAACTGAGATGTGGATGTGTAGGTTGTCTGGGCCTCCGAAAGGGCCTTTCGGGCTAGCTGACCACATTTCCCATTCCACACACGACAGGGGAAGTTAAGGAGACGGCGCCGAGCTTCAAAAGTGACTGAAAATCGGCCGGTCTCACACAGCAAAGCATCAGCAACGAGACGAAACACGCAGTACACGCAGCAGGAAGCGACGATGCATTTTATCGAGCTCGCGGCAGGGCAAGCCCGGCCAGAACTCACACCCAAAAGAGAGCGCCGTGTCTCGGGCCGCCAACTTCCGTTTCGTTCCCTAGCTGCGGAGACATTCGGCAGGTGGGGAGAGAAGATCATGTCCTTCCTCAAGATGCTCGCCAAGCGGAAGCCCCGCCCCTCGGCCATCCCCGTCGCTGAGGATCATGCGTTCCGTGAGAGCGTCATCAACCATTGGAGCCAGCTCTTGTCCGTGGAGCTGATTTTGCTTCTCTGCTTTGCTATGTTTGTTTGAGCGTGTTCTTGTTTGGGTCTTGAGACGATCGTATGACGTCGCATACTGATTTCAATCGACACATTCATCATGAAGCACAACGCGTCCCAGGTGGCCAGCCGCGCGAAACGAGCCGCCGCCGCCAGAGGGCCCAGGAGGGCCAGCACGTTGCCAGAAGACTTCATCAGCCGGGGCCCGTACCGGCCTCACTCCAGCCCCGCCTCGGGGCTGTGAGCTGGCGCCCTGTTCTGATTCATGTTGGTACATGTTTTGGTGTTCTGTGTGATTGTGAATGTTACATGATTGTCGGTTTACCTGCTTTGGTCTGTTTGTTTGATCGTGTTCTTGCTTGAGACTTGAGACGATCGTGTGACGTCGCATATTGATTTCAGTCAAACGAGAATCAGAAACATAAATATGACATATATGATTGATGCGCCCCTCGCAGGGCTTCTTGCCCTCCTTTGTCCTCAATATGACATCTGCTCGGGCCCTGCCTACCGTCATTGTGTCCGGCCCGAGTAGTTCCACGGAATGAGTACCGATTTGACCCCAGTCTCGGCGAAGTCTGCCCACCCGCCCCCGCCGTCTCAAAACGGCTCTGCAGTGCTGAGGGACGATGTTGCTGGAGCAGCATCCCGGCCCTTGCTCCCAGCCGCTGGCCCTGAGCGGTGTTGCCCATGCAACAAAGACCGGAACGAGGCCACTGGATCGAGGTGCAAGCGAAGCGGAGAGAAGAAGGGATGTCCCTGCCGGGCGAAGGGCAAGAAGTGCATCAACTGCAATTCCTGTGACCTAGGCATTTGTGAGAACCGAGATTTTGCCCCTGCGGACGAGCAGACTGATGACGCGGAGAGGGATGAGGGTTCGGACCCTCCCTCCATGCATCCTCGTGTCATCCACTCGGATGAGTTCTCGGGTCAAGGTGGATCTGAGTCCTACGCTCCCGCCCAGTGCGCCAGCTGCCACGTCCGCGCAGCGTCCACCAGCAAGGGCCTCTGCTACGCCTGCTTGAGCAGCGGTGCCACGCCTCCTCATCGGCCGCCTCCTGCCGTGCCCCTCGCCTCCCCTGCCAGCCCTCCCCTGTCCTCGTTGGTCCAGGAGAAGCTTTTCGAGGCTTACGGCACCGATGAGTTCCATCAGCGGAGCGGCCTTCGCAACACCGACTGGCAGTGCTGGCGTTCTCGCCTTGCTCCCTTTCGGGGATGCCTCTGGGATCCGCCAGACAAGGCGGCTGAGAGCAAGCGGCTGGCCCTCCTGCTCGCCGCCGAGGCCCGCCGGTGCCGCGTGGAGCAGCAGCCCAGCGAGCGCTTCCTCATCTGCGCCAACACGGTCCTGTATCGGGCGCCGGACGTCACCGCCCAGGAGGACATATACAAGACGATGGAGCGGCGGATGGACCAATGGGAGGAGGGCGACATCGAGCAGCTCGTGCAGGAGACCGAGCGCAACGACGCCTTGCTGGCCACCATACCCGTGGACGAGAAGGATGCGAATGCGGCCACCCTGCGTCAGTTTCGCCGCCTGATTGAGAAGGGGGAGATCCGTCAGGCCGTCCGGTACCTGACCAAGCGGGTTGGGGGGGGGCGTGCTGGACCCGAATGACCTCCCTGAGGGTGACGCAGACGGCCGCACCGTCCGCGAGGTGCTCGAGTCGAAACACCCTGCCCAGCGGGACCCCGACCCATCCTGCTTCATCGACCAGCCCCTCCCTCCCCTCACCCATGTCGAAATCACCGCCAACCACATCGAGCCGGCGGCGCGGGCAACAAAGAGGGGCGCCGGCCCCCTCGGGGGTGAGTCATTGGTCTGGAGGTCCCTCCTTCTCAAGTTCGGCCCGGTCAGTGCGGAACTTCGCAGCGAATTGGCGGCCCAGACCACTTTCCTGGCGAACGAGATCGTGCCATGGGAGCAGGTGCAGGCCGTGCGCAGCTGCCGCCTCATCGGCTTGGACAAGCAGCCACGCGTTCGGCCCATCGGCATTGGAGAGGTGCCGATGCGCATGATGGCCAAGGCGATGTATTGGGTGTTCGGGGTGGACGTGGAGATTGCATGCGGTGCTGATCAGCTGTGTGGGGGAATCAAGGGGG